TATTTTAAAGATAAAACTTCAGTATTTTTCAAATATCATATTTAAAACATGCTTTAGCTAGTTAAGAAATACTTTAAAACTCAGTCATATTCAAACAACTTACAACTTACCACCTACCATCTATATCCTTAAAGAATTATTCTCAAAAGGTTTTAGACACACACCCTTCTAATAGTTATACAATAATCACACGCTTATTTATTTATTGTGTATAATAACACAAAAACTAGTGACCCAAATATTCAAAATAACTATGATTGATTTAGTAGGATTTAGCCACTCCTTTGAACAAAAATTTTCACTCAAACATTCTAACAAATGCCTCATGTGCAAGACAATTAATCTTTATTCAAGCCACATAAACAGAATAACAAATCTTCACATGATTCACTAATTCTTAAATTCATTCTTCAAATTAAATCCTTTAATTTATAGACATAATTTAGATTTGAAAGAGAAAGGAAAAAATTATATTATATTGTTCAGCCTTTCATCAATACACAACTGAAAAATGCATGAATAATACCTCCTAGTAGAAGCTCTATTCCCCTCAACGATTTAGCTAACCAAAACTCTACTCTGTTTTTTTTCCTCTAGTTGCTGTAGAGAAGTAAAGAAAGGAAAAGGCAATAATGAACACATGCAACCAAACTGACGCAATGAGTAGAGAAGAAGCTACGATGAATTGAGGAAATATATAAGAGGAATGGAACAAGGGAATCAATGTTCTCTCATTCATACTAGTACAGAACACCGCAAACAGGGGAGGAGGAGAGATATCCGGTGACGTCAAAACGAGAAAGAACTTGCGGATAGAAATAATCACGGTCGCCAGCGTCGAACAAGAACGATGAAGGAAGACGAACGATGGAGAAACAAGGAAGAAAACGAAGTTTCTGGATTCCAATCACTTGTCTCTCTCTCACTGTTGCTAAAGCAAAAATGAAGATGGGGAAGATATAATATCATATGATGTCACGTGTGCCGTGTGCGTGTTGTTATATTTTTTTTTTTAAATATTTCTGATGGCATTTTAGTAATTAAGTAACACCAGAGAATAAAATTCCTTTATTTCAAAGAATATCTGAACCCAAAACTTTGTAATAGGTTGCATACAAAATTTTCACTAGACTACAAATCCTCTCATATTATTTATTTCCAAAACTTTAAGTTAAATATAATTAAAATTTCTTATCACAAATTTTAATTTTACTAAAATTCTTAGGTCATTACAATTTAAGTCAAAATATCAAGAAAAATTAATTATTTTATTTTAATTTTTAAAATTTACACCAACTTCTCTTTTGATGCTTAAATTAAATTTATTGCATTGTTTGAATTCTTGAATTTTTTTTCAATCATTACATTGAAGGGCAATTTGACCTTTAAATTATACGTTCATGAGTGTCTAAGACTCTAAATTTATTTATTATATATTATTCCTTAACTTTTGAAAATAATGCAATGTAACTTTTACTATTAATAGAAGTTAATTTTAACTATTAGTTAATAAAATAAATGATAAAAAAAGTATCAAAAAATTACATAAATGGAAAAAAATATAGAAAATGACCCAAAAAGTACAAACCAAGGCACAAAATTACACAAATGGCCAATTTATAATTTTTGAAGTTCTTTTCTATCATTTGTTTAATCAATCGATGATTAAAGTTAATTTTTATCAATAATAAAAGTTATATTTCACTGTTTTCAAATGTTAAAAAAAAATATTATATAAAAAATAAGTTTAATAAAATTTTAGAAGCTCGTGATTTTATAGTTTAGTTGTCAAATTGATATTTAACCTTTTTGTCAACCTAGAAATTAAAGATTTGGTCTTGGTTTCACGCTTTTCCAACAAAAAGGCTTGCCTCTTGGAGATACGGTGATGCTAGTAGAAGAGAAACATGAAATGGGTAGTGTTATGTTTCCCTTTCTTTTTCGAAGCTACTCGATGTGTTTTACTGTCTATTTTGCTCATGGTTTTTTGCATAATGAAGTCCCGGACTCCTTGTTTCATAATTCTTAGTCGTTGAAGACACTTTATTTTTGGATGTTGGCTTTTGGCTGTTGATAATAACTTTTTGTTATCGCTTTTGTGCCTACACGACACACTTGCAAGTTCGCATGTAAGAAGATGGCTCCAAACTAGAACATGCAGAGTCCTGCATCCAATGCCTGTGGGTTTTCTCCCAATTAGCAGTCATCGCCATTACAAAAAAAAAAGTTAAAATTAATAATGAATCATGAACTTTCCTTAAAAAACACTTTTGGAGTTTACAAAAAATTTGAATTAATAGTTTTGGAAAAAAAATTAATTTAATATAATATTTTCAATTTAAACTTTTTAAAAATTATTTATGCATAAAAATTATTTAAACCACAATCTAATTATATAAATTTTAATTTATAAAAAATCTTCAGCTAATTCTAAAATTATATAATCTTTTAATAAAAAGGAAAGGCGCCAATGGCAACCACGGCCAGAGTTGTTTTGTTGGACACTACTTTCAAGTCATATGGTCAACGCTTTGATTGGAGTCATATTGGTTGCCTTTAACCAAGAAGGTGTAGTTCTTACTGTCGCACTTGATTTCAATATCAAGCTCACTGACAAAACTCTCTCTAAGAGACTAAAAGTCCAAATCCAAATTCATGGAGTTGAACAAGAGCCTGATGCCATCATGGTCACTCTTCACCATTAAATGATCTTTAAACTTCAAGATCATTCATTTAATCTTGGTTTCCCAATGCAATTAGTGATGCTTTGTTCATGAATGCCAGAAATTCAGGGAATCCCTCAATTTTGCAAATCATGAAACAATTACCTATTGAACAACTAGCTGACATGATATCCTTAGAATGGATCAACAATTATGCGAAACAATTACAAAACTTCTTATCGTTTACAAGAAGCAAGATGGTACTATAAAATATGTTTTCAAGAAGCTTGAAACCCACAGTCTAAACCAAATCTCTAGAAGAATTATGTCTATTTCTTTAGCTTTTACTGTTGACAAAAAGCACCCTCTGATTGAGTGGTTTGATGCAGACACCGTCTATGTCTCACTTATCAATGGTCACTTTATCTAGGACTGTGCCCTTGAAATGTGTAACCCCAATTGTGACTGTTATCTTTGGACTGATTCTAATGATGATGACTATAGTTCCAAAAAAAGAAAGACTAGGAAGCTTAAACATCATAGATCTCCATGTGGACATAAATGATCTCCAAAAGATGATGATGATGACTATGGCCCAAAATAGTCTGTTCGAGAAAATGAATAGGACCCCCAAATCCTCCCATTAAAAGGAGTACTCTTTTTGAACCCCTTAAAAAAATTGGCCATGAAGATCTCCTTCCCTTGGAAAAGCTAGACCTAATGATTCCAACTATCCCACGAATTCCAGAACCTATAATTCCAACAATTCCAACTACACCAGTATAAACTTTACCTTGTATTGCCATGATAAGACCTTATGAAGAGGAATTTCTTCCTCTTGAAAGAAAAGCATAAGACAAGACCAAAGTGTCTAGTAAACCCTTTATCCCACAAACAGAGGCACTCTCAAGCCTATTACACCAACAAAAGAGGTTGTTAATTGGTAGTCTCATAATACTGTCAGCTAAAACAGAGTTATTCATAAGATAGATTTCAAACTTGATCACGTATCACTTACAATAGGAAACTAGTCGTTACAAGTTAATGAAATCAATGATCAAGTACAAAATCTTTAACAAAGACTCTGCCGATAAGAACAAAAGTTGGATGCAGAACCCCTTAGATTTATCAGTCAAGGATATGATGGACCAAAATTCTTTAGAAAGTAAAAAGAAATTTCTGAGTAAAAAGACAGTTACAACAAATAGAAGTAGACCTAGCCCAAGACTAATCCAAGATTATCTATAAGTCTTATCCAACTTTTTCTACCATGACCAAACAATTCCCATCTTATACCATTATGCCCCCAACATATTCAACTGAGATTGATTATAGTAAAGTATTCAAGATGTCTTATCTAATTCTCAGAAAAGCTCAGAAACAACCCTCTCAAAAGGCAAAATCACTTGTAACTTATAACCTGCCTTCTTACCAAAAGCCTTAAAAATACCAAGTCTCACTATCATTTACCAAGTTCCTAAAAAAACCTTTGACTATAAAAACACCACCAGCTACATCTAAAAAACTAAAGGGGATTAAAGATCCTTCAAACCCTTTGAAACAATTGCTTCTATGATAAATGCTATTTTTGACCAAGTCTTTTCTGAACAAGAAGATTCAGACTCTATAGCCTCAATAGAGATTTCCATAGAATACACAGATTTTGAAACAGACCACCTACTTGATTTATCAAATATTACTATAGTCCAACCTTAATCTCAACAACAACAAGCTCAAGGAGAAACTGGGAGAGAATCTAGAACAAAACTTGGTGTAGAAGACCCTCCTGATAAAGAATCAGAAGCAGCGCCAATAAAAAGTGTTTAGTATACACCTATCCATCAGGATTCAAACTTCAAACCCACAGCTGGTCCCTGGTTTACATTTGATGATGTTCCTCCATATACGTCACAAATCTCTCTTGATGAGATCTATCAACTAGGTCTATCCATTTTAGATAAACTTTGTGAACAATAGAATCTCTTGAAGTCTATGTTAAAAGGAAAGCTGAAACTTAAGAGAGTGTGCAAAAAGCTTTATTTGAAGATTAAGTGTAAAGAAGCTGATCTTTGTTCTTGTAGAAAAAGACTCATTTTTACGAATATAGGCATATACCATTCAAGTAAAATAATGATGTTCCTTTAGATTATTCAAAGGGAGAAATACAAGACTTAAGAGATCAGATGCTTTATAAAATTACGAAATTAACATGGAACCTTGCAAAGTTAAATAACTAAAGTATAGCTTAGCCAAATATTTAAAAGTATTTTTCTTAATAAATTTGTGGACTTATCTTCTTAAATTAGGAATGCTTATATCCTCTTCACATTAATCAGAGAGATTCCAATATATGGGCTAGCGCGGAATGCGACCTAATGATTGTCTCTATTGTACAACATTGTTCTATTCTAACCCGGGCCCAGTGCCCAAAAGCGTTCCGGTTCGCCAGATTCTGGGTTCTGAATATGAATTTTCAAAGGTTGCTGTGTTCGCTAACAAGGGTTAACCATTCTTTCGCGTCTAACATTCAGACTCGCTCATTCACTACTTCCGCCGCCAGATTTGCTTCCCGGTAAGGCTTTGTTTTTTCAATTTTTAAAATGTTATTCATATAATTTTCAATAAATATTTGACTGAAATGTTTTTTTTTTTAATTCGTGTGTATTTATTGATCAATATATTTGGTGGTTCATTGCATTTTGCCTGTCTGTCCCTGTATGATAGATGATTGATACTTGGTAGCCAAACATTGCGGTCCATACTTCTATTTTTGGTTTGAGAAAGCTATTGTCACTAGTGAACGCCTTCTCTTAGTTGAAAGAAAGTATATAATCTATTTACATTTCGGTTCTGGGTTACTAAAATAATTGTGCAACAGATTGTGGTTTTGCTGCTCAATGTTCTATTATCTGCAAGACATGGACGTGAAATATTTGCTTCTTTCTAATTCTTTTTACTTCGCTCTACATTATCCCTGAAGTTCCAGGCTCTCCTGCCTTGTGATTTTTGAACTGTGATAAAAGAAAATTGAACATTTGTCCTATGGGTTATTTACAATTATTTGTTGGCGCTGTATGTAAATGAACGTCTTATTTTGTCAATTGCAAAATGATTCAAGGGGCATCCATGTACTGTATATTTGGCCTCCTTTGTGCAAACTGCAATTGTACCTCTGTACTTAATAACATAACTTTCGTACAATATGTTCCCTGCTTCTTGTATGGCATATAGAGACTTCCGAATATATCAGCTTTCTGGAACTTAAATATCAGCAAAGATCAATTAGTAAGTGGGAATGTTTACGATGTTCCTAGAAGGGAATGGAGACTATTGGAATTTGCCAATTTGGTTTTTAAACACATTGTATCTAAATAGTAAAGGGCCCCTTAATTGTAGGGGTAAAATTTCTACACACACAGACTGGCTCAAAATTTGAGGAATCAAATCAAAATGAACTGTAATTCCATGGTAAATCAACAGTACTTATCTATTCTAGTTTATTATAATATAATCATTTTATGTGGTGTTTTCCTTATGTATATATGTTTTCCTTTTATATTATGAATCGTGGTATCTTATTTTTCTGTTTTGTGTATCTACATTTTAGCTTTTGTGTATTCAACTTTATTGGAATCTATACTTTCTTTTCCAAATAGAGATAAGGAAATAATGTGAAAATTAAAAAAAAATTGCTAACGTTTGACTAAATATTTTCAAGGATTTATGATATTTAATATTTATTACATCTTTGCTACCTGTTATAAATTTTTAGGGTAGATCTTATGGATGGAGATGGGAGCATGATCAAGAATTTTGACAATCGTATCACCCGTGTTTTGTTTTGTGGGCCCCATTTTCCTGCCTCTCATGATTATACAAGAGAGTATTTGCAGAATTATTCATCTATCAAGGTACCTTAATATTATTGCTTTTGTGTTTTCATTTATGCAATCCTTGTTTAATTGTATTTAGACACATTTTTGTTTGTTTAGTTATAAGAGGTAGCTGTGAGCAAGAATGAATAAGGATTCAATGGCAAGTCATTTGCATAATTTTGTTCTATTAGAATGTATATTAGCTTCCTTAATATTACTTTCTGAGATAAATTTAGTACCAATATGTGGTTCTGATTTTAATTTTTTTGTTAAACAAGTGTTTTGCTGTCTGGAGCTGCTTTTACTTTTCAAGAGTCTACAGGTTGCTTCTGCTGGACAAGTAGGGGCATCTGCAAGCTATGCTGGTTTCTTTTTTCTTTTCTTTTTTTAAATTTTAATTCTTCCTTCTCATTTATTTTTGTCATCACTTGTTTCCTATTAGATAATGTCTCATCCTGTTCCATTTTACTTCTTGTCATCAATAACATTTCTTTTTCTGCGAAAACAGAAGCCAGTCAATCTGGTTATGCTTGTCATTATGATAGTAGTAATTTCCTTGCTATAATTTTTTCTTAATTGCATATTGATTTCTATTAAATAGTGAAAGAGCATTGCACTGCTACATCTTCTATTTATTATGTGACTAAGTGACCTTAACTCTTGTGCTTGCTGTGAATGGTTCAGGTGTGAAGTCTTAAGTCAATGCTTTCCCTCTAGTGTCATAAAACTGTATTGTTGTGATCTTTGTTGTACTGAGAATGTAATGCATTATGTAATTGGAGTTTATTGACCTCTCATTTATTCCATTTGTAGGTTGATGTTCTCCCCTTGGAAGATGTGCCCAAGGCTATTGGAGACTATCACATGTGCATACCAAAAATCATGAGGCTAGATTCAAACATAATTTCTCATGCAGTTAACATGCAGCTTATTTTGCAGTATGGTGTTGGTCTGGAAGGTACTGTGTTTGGAGTCAGTTGATTTTCTTTAGTGATGGGTCTTGGAGATATTATCATTGCCTTTCTTTTGTTATTAAATAAATTTACATTTTCTTTTTACTTTTGTTCATCATGCCCTTTCATGATGTTTTACGAAGGTGTTGATATTGATGCTGCAACCAAGCATGGAGTTAAAGTCGCTAGGATTCCTAGTGATGGTACTGGAAATTCTAGTTCAAGTGCAGAAATGGCCATATATCTAATGCTGGGTCTCCTTCGTCGGCAAGTATGAGGTCTTCAATTTTAAATTATTGAACAATAGTAAAAAATCCGAAAGGGTGGGTAAGATGTCTTACAAAAGTAACGTAGAACATGACATTGCACAAGAGAAAATCCCAAGCAAGACCCTTGATCACTAAGGTTTCTTCGGAACAAAGCCTCAATGTTCTGTGCATGTCTAACAAAGCAACTAACTATCTAACTGATTATTCTATATTTATTTATTTACGTTTACACATCATTGACACTAATAAATTGTACTTGCAGAATGAAATGCGAACTTCCATACAACAAAAGAAGCTTGGGGATCCAATTGGTGAAACGATACTGGGAAAAACAGTAAGTTAATTGGTTTATCTTTTTTTTTTTAATTCAAAAGTGAACTTTATTGATGAAGCAATAAAATTACGAAGTAGAAAAATAAGATATCTTCTGAAAAGAACCTCAAAAAGAAAATCGGCATTAATGATTAAATTATTTACATACCTTGGCAGCCCAATCTTGTTGGAAATCTTAGATACAATCTCCTTGAAGAAACAATGATCAGAGCTCCAAATTGAGGACATGAAACTATCCTTTCCCTCATTTTTTAGGATGAAGAGGCACATTAAATAATTCAGCTTCAGTCACTCTCCTTTTGAAACAAAAGCGTCCAGGGTTAAATGCACAGCCCAATGTTAAACATACGTTTATACAGTTTAAGAACAGATTTAAAGCTGATTCTGAGTTATTCATACACATGATACAAATGTCTGATGAAGGGGCTATTTTAGGGATGCAAACTTGCATTGCTTCTTATCATTATTATCAATCCTATTCAATACCACGGACCAGATAAATGACTATACCTTAGAGAGAGCTTTTGGTTTCCCACTGCGTTTATCTGAAAATACCTTTCCCTATAAAGAGAATAAGTTACATCCTTTCACACACACAAAAAAAAAAAAAAAAGAACGAGTTTTATAAATGAAGGGACCGTTTGATATGTTGGAAATACTTTTGAAAGAATTAGAATATGAAAGAGAATGAGAATTTGAAGTGGAAACATAATGGAATTGAATTTTAAAGTATGTTTGGCGTGTCAAAAAAATTTGATGGAGTCCTTTTTATAATATTTGTTTGATATGTATACTTGTATTAGGAAAAAGCTAAAAACCCTTTTGTTTTAAAAACCCAATTGTCACCATAAAAGCAGAGCCTGTGGCGGAGGCTTGCTCTTCTCCTTCACTGTCCAAAAATACAAATATCCAGCCAGCAATAATTAGCAACCAATACACTGCAAGATTGACCAACACCACAATCAAAACAATCTAAAAATTGAAAGAACCAGAAATTGATAGTTTTTAGGCCAAAGAAAGGGCGAAGATGAAGGAGCACAAGGTGATGGGGTCAGGGAGAAGTACAGGAGATCAAAGACAGAGTACTGTCACTGTTTATTGAAGGTGAAGTTTCAATCGAAGTTGAAGGAGGATGGTGGAAGCAAAGTTGAATTGGAGAATTTTGGCTGCCATTGATTCTTTTTTTGGGTGTGGAAGTGAAGTTGAAGTTGAAGTTTAGTTGCTGCAGTTGATGTGGAGAATTGATCATCATTGATAGAAGCTGGGGGGAGGAGCAAAGTTGAAGCTTGCAGAGGGTAAATGAGAGAAAAACTTGATTCCTTGGTGTTAAGTCAATTCCGATTGGTTAGGGGTTGGTGGAAGAGGATTTAGGGTTTAGGTGGAAGAGGATTCTGGCCATTTTTTTAGAATCATGATTCTTCGGAATTTGGTTTCAGGTGTCTTCAGGTGCATGAAACATAAGTTCAGCAAGAATCCCTTTCCAATTCCTTTTCCATGCTCAGGATTCCAATGTACCAAGCACAAGATAAAAGAATGGCTTACATGAATAAACACTACCAGTTGAGATCAAATTCTTCTAGAAAGAATGAACATCTATCTGTTAAGTTATAACACACAAATAAAGAAAAATTGAAAGAAGGGTAAGTTTCTTACACAATGGGAAAGATGGCATTAGGAACATAGTAGTTAGCACCCTTCTTCACTTCACTACATATATTAGCGTACGCATTACTAGTCTTTTTTATGCTACTTTTGCATTTGGTCTCTTATGGAGACGGATGTTTCTAATCTGATTGAAGAGAGACTGGATATGGTACTGAAGAATGCGTGAAGGCTAGAAATCCACAAAATCATGAGAAACCATGGCTAGATCAGCTTTTTGACCTTTGGTTAGCTCTTTCTGTGGCCACCAAAAGTTGGTCATGCTAAAAATATGCAAAAAATTGTATGATGGTTGAAGATCAAATGCCACAGAAGAATCTGAGCTGTAGTCTGATCAGGGATGGAAGATGTACATACTCTTTGTTCATTGCCTTTTAAGTTTCTGTGTCTTTCTTTTGATCTAGGCTAGGGTTTAAGATTAGGAAGAATGCTAATGCTTTGAGGCATGAAATAAGACAATGCTTTGTTGAGCATGCATGCTAATACTTTGTTTATATAATATAACTTGATATTCCTTCAAAAATTTAATAATTCTCTACAATTAGTCACTAAGTGGAAGTGCATTGTTAAAGGGAGCACTTTAGGGGAGAAGAATGTGTAAACAGTGTACTAATTTTTCTATCCGTTTTCTTTCTTGGTGTATTTTCACTTGTCAATGATATTAGCAATCATTTATTATACTGTTCACGGATTGTCTCCTTGATCCTCTAGGTTTTCATATTCGGCTTTGGAAACATTGGAATAGATTTAGCAAAGCGATTGCGGCCATTTGGTGTAAAAATTATTGCTACAAAGCGGAGCTGGGTTTCATATGGTAAGCACCTTCCTTAAAGTTGTGGAATCTGGAATGTTCACTTGTATAAACCCTAGTCAGTTCTTATTTTCTCACTTGTTTTGTATTCTTCTTCAAGATGATGCTAGCGAACTTGTTGATCTGAAGGGTAATCAGGAAGATATATTCGACTTTGCAAAGAAAGCTGACATTGTCGTTTGCTGCTTAAGATTAAACAGTGAAACGGTTTAACCCTTTCCGCTCTTGTTATGTTTGCTTCTATATTAAACACAATTTATGTTCTTTATTTTATTCTTATTGATAAGGGGGTTTAAATATATGAAATAGCAAATGACATAAACATGTTGGCGAGTTTTTCTTGGTTCGCATATCTTATTTGTGTCCTCCCCATCCCCACCTCCTCCTCCTCCCTGCCTCTCCTCCGTGTCTTGTTATTGCTGCTGCTGCTTCTTGTGGCATTGTTGATGACATCATGCTTTTAATTGTCTGCTTTCTCTTGCTTTGAGGCACTAGGGTGTTTTGGTGCCTCACCTTAGCACCTAAATGATCCATGCTTAACTTTTTTAGCTGTTAAAGATGTACTAACACAGAATGTTTACTAATAATCCTTATTTTCTGTGTGCTCAAGCATCAATGGCACGTTAGATCGGTGTCATTTTTACCTTAATAGTTGCATAATACAGAGCTGATTCACTGGGATACTTATTGACTTGGATGTAATGCTTTTCAGGCTGGTATTATAAACAATAAATTCATATCTTCAATGAAGAAGGTTTGTTACAATCTCAGACCGTCTTTTATTACTTTTTTTAATCATAGAATACATGTTCGTAGTCCAAGTTCTTTTCACAAGTTGCAAGGGTAGGTATCAACACACATCCTTACTATGTATTGTTGAATTATGTCATAAATTCTGCTAAGTGTTGGTAGTTTCATTTTCCTATGAAATTTTTTAATTGTACATTGTAAGTGGAATTTCATGTTTTGTTATTTTATGTTTGATCACCTTAACTTCTTAATCTTCATTCATAGTTGAAAATGGAACGACATGATTTGTTTTTCCAAGTTTACAAAACCATTGTCTGTTACTAAGAAATTTTGGGGAGGGCTTTTAGTAGTTTGATTTTCTTTTAAGTTCGATCCAATTTTAATGCTAGCCATAGGCAAACCTTGTCCTTAAAAACTACTTTTGAAGACAGTTTTCATAACTTTACTCATTCCCATTTCTCAAGTTCTGTTTTTGTCATGACCCAAGTGATTGGCACCTCTTTATTTGCTCTTCGTTGTGTTGCGTACTTTCCCCTATCCCTTGGTCAAACTTGCTCTTTTTTTTTTTTTTAAATATTTGTTGCAGTCTTCTGATTTTAGTCATCAGTTATCCTAATAACTACTGTTTAGGGATTAGCTCTTTATTTGAATGAGCGAAAAAGCTGTTTGAGAGAGTGGATAAAGATCATAAATTATAGGGTTTAAGATGCTTTTGACATATACATTATATATATATATATATATATATTTGGTTAGTAAGTACTAAGTGCTATAAGACAGGGTACTTTTCTTCATGCTAGTGGAAATGTTAGACTCTAAAGAGACTACTTATCAGAAACAGGAATTATCAGAGATGAGATCGGGAAATCCATTCTAATGCACAGAAAATAAAAAATTGGACAGCACTTAAATTCATGTTAAGCTGCAAGGCAATGATTAGTTGCAAAGAATTTGTCTGACAGAACATAACGAGATCCTTGAAATCTATGGAACATAGGGATGAAATTTTGAAACAGAAGAGATCTTCTGAATGAGATAAGGGGGACCCAAACTGGTATGGAAGGAATTTCAGGAGATAAGGTTGCAATATTGAAGGATGTTAAGTCTAAGATTATCTTAGGCCTATGCTATTCTGGCACGGGACATAACTTCAATTTCTTCTTTCTACTTATGGTGGCTGCTTTTTCCTTTTCTTTCTAACATGGCCTGTCAAGTCATTGTGTGAAAGTTAACATGGCCTGTTTCTTCCATCGCACATCTGATTTATCAATTTATACGTATTTCAGGGAGCTCTTTTGGTGAATATTGCTAGAGGGGCTTTAATAGATTATGGGTCTGTGGCCCACCACCTTGAGTCAGGTCACTTAGGTGGCTTGGGTACTGATGTAGCTTGGACTGAGCCATTTGACCCTGACGATCCAATATTAAGACACAAGAACGTTATTATCACTCCTCATGTTGCGGGCGTTACAGAATATTCATATAGATCCATGGCTAAGGTATGACCTTCTTGTACATTTACCAGCCTTGATTGGTATCAAATTTATTTTCACCCTATTCAAATCACTTCTTTGCATGACATTTTTTACATCATGCTGTGTACCTGAGTTGTGCGAAGATGTATCAAAAAATTATAGAAGAGAAAAAAAGAATGGAATGATAGCCTGAAATGATCTCTGCTTGCTTGATGTTCAAGTGCAGGTTGTTGGTGATGTTGCTCTTCAACTTCACGGAGGATTTCCTTTGACTGGAATAGAAATTGTGAATTAAGCTGGTGCATAATATAAAGTGCCATCTCATCCACTTAAAACACTGTCGTTCCATTGCTGGTTGAGGTGATGAAACTTTTCATAAATTGAATGATGTTGAAAATAACTACATCGGCGGTCTAAACCAATTATTATTATTTTTTTAGTTTTCCCTTTATATTTGTTTTTTGTTTTTTTTTTTAACTGCGGTGAACCAGGGGACATTATGCAGATAAAAAGAGCCAATGGAGACACGCATTTTACATAAAGGCCAATGGATATTTAGCAACACAAATTGACCCCTTTAATTTTTTTCGTTTTTCCTTAAATAGTGATGGGACTAAAACTACTTGCTAAACTACCTAATCAACCAAATTGTCAAGTAGTTTGATTTTTCGGCTACGCTTTGCTACAATTTAGATGGATTATTTTTAATGAACAATGACGTCATCATTTTTTAAAGTGGAGGCAATTATGTTTGAAGCACTTTTAGGTACTAAGTATGGACACTTATTAATGAAGGATTGTTTTGGGTTCAAGACTCAAGGCCCGAAGCTATTGTGGGACCATGTTGATAACTTGAAATGCCTTAATATGTACCAGAAAATGCCTTGATAAATAGAATCAAAACCCTTGTGGGCTATTAACAAATGTTGATCTAGTGAATAAGGATTACTCATGATCTACAAGATTGTGGGAGCAAATTTCAAGTTAATGTGAGGATTTTAATAGATGATTTGTAAGTATGTTTATAAGGGTTCTGAGCTTGAAGGCATAATCTAATCTTAATGAGTTCCTATAACTCATCTAATTTTTTTTCTTCAAAAAAACAATGTGGGCTTGAGGTTTTAAAAATATAATGGGTTTCGTAGTTTTTGGGCAACGTGGGGAGTTCATTGAATTTGTATCTATTGTGTGCTTATGTTTGATAATAACTGACGTTCTTTTGAATTGTTTTCAACTTTGGTTGGAAGGAAGAAGAGGCTAGGGAAAGGAAAATTTTCTCTTTCCTTGTTTGGCATCCGGTTTCTCCCTCCCCTCAATTAAACATAATATAAGGGTGTTTAGATTTTTTTTAAAAAAATTTAGTTTTAGGTTCATAATTAATGTTGACATATATAATAGGTGTTTAGATATTTTTAAAAAATATTGGTTTTAGATTCATAATTAATTTTAACATGTAATAGAAGTGTTTGGATTTTCACAAAATCATGATTTTACTTAATTTTCAATTCTGCTTTTTTAGTGCTACTTTTTTATTTTGATTAAAAATTAATCTTATTAATCAATTTTATGAAACAATCATATACTATATAATAATCAATCATATTAATCAATTTTTTTTTATAATCAATTTTTTCTAACCAATATCCAAAAGGCCCCGTGGAGTTATTTTTTGGGCTTTCAATTTTTGTTCTCAAAGTTTTATTTGCAATAATTTTTTATTATTAATATAATTTAACTCCATTTAAAAAAATTATAGTGAAAGAAATTTTCTTAGTAATTAAAGATGGAAAAAAGAATAAATTAACTCTTAAATTATAAGTTCAAAAGTATCTTGGACTCTAAACTTATTTTTGATACATTTCCTTTCAACTTTTAAAAATGATACATTCCAACTTTTACTATTAATAAAAATTAAATTTAACTATTAATTGATTAGAAATTAGTACAAAAGAGCATCAAAAATTACAAAAATTATCAAGAAATTGCAATAAAATACCCAAAAATTATAGACAATGACCCAAAAAATTATAGAAAAGAACCAAAAATTTTAATTGATTATTTTTTATAATTTTTGAAATATTTTTCTATTATTTTCTGAGCAATGAACAATTAAAATAAACTTTTGTCAATGACAGAATTCAAATTGCACAGCTTTTAAAAATTAAAGGAAAATATTACATTAAAAATGAATTTAAAATCTCAATCATTCCTAAACTTATAGTTTAAGAATGAAATTGCTCTTATCCATACAAGATTCAATATTCTGAACTAAGGTTTTTTATTTGAGTGTCAATGATAGAACAAACAATGAAACAACGTTGGGAAAGATTCCTTGCAAGTATGGATTGACCCAAAACAAATCTGAATGTTGGTCATAATAAATACTAGATTAGAACAAAAATAAATTTCAGATTAAGAGTTCAGTCTAAATTCAAAAATAGAGAACCAAACTACTTTGCCACTGTCCGAATTAAATTCACCTGAAAGCAATACAATATTCCTGTAAGTAACCCTTGCCATTGTCCGAATTAAGTCTCTATGTAACCCTGTCTCCTATAAAAGAATTCATGTATTATTCCTGCAAATCCTCTTTTACAAAAAAAACAAAGCTAATGAAGAGGATTGAATGCATAGCAAAATCTGGATTGCTTTAATAAAGAAAAATTACTCAGGTTCAACACAAATTATCTAAATATAAAAAAAATTCCATGAAATTATAAAATTACTATGAAGTGTCGTGTTTTTTACTGAAATTGTTAATTGTTGCTGGATAATTTAGTTATTACTACTTTAATTGTCAACTGAATAACTCCATTAACAATTATCCAGCAATAAGCAACAACTTCAATAAAAGATGGAATTTCAAGTAATTTTACGATTTCATAAGACTTTTTTGTGTTTAGATTCTTTGTATGACACTAGACAACGATCTTCCCTTTAACAAACACATGGTAACCTGAAGTGCTATAATAGATAAATGCTTCATGAACAACCTAACTAGATGTAATTTTCACTTAAAAAAAAAAATTGTAAGGAATTAAGTCTAGTTTTCATTTATTTATTTTCTTGACCGTCTCTTTTTCAACTTCATCTTGAATCAAATCTTCAGGTGTCACAAAACTTGGTTGGTTTGTTGATGAAAGAACTCTTGCCCACATGCGACCAGTCAGCTTCACCGTATTTGGTCTCTCGGTCACACGCTGCAATAGGATGAAAATTACAGAGATCAATAGAGACAATATACTCCTTCATGGTCATACACTGTTCATATAAACCACTAAGAATAATTCTTTCCACATTCTATACAAATCCATTTTATGATATGAAATTGGAAACAGCACGTCACATGATAACCAGTGATCTCTAGGGACTCAAAATGATGTTTGAGTTGGTTTTCAAAATTGATTATGATAGATTTGTCACGTGATCCAACCAAAGGAAAAAGAAAAATCAAGTGTTTTGACAGAGTTCGTTCATTGGAGTATTCTTAAACAAGATGCATCAAAATGGTGTGAAGCGTCCGCTCTTATGGGCTCCTTGTTAAAGTTCTCAGATTATGAAGATTTCTAACTGAGACGTTTCGAAACAGAGAGACCTATTTAAACATAGACAGGAATAATTATATTTAAAGTAGTGCATCTTCAATTTGTTCAGAAAGTTTCAGGTCTATGTTAAATTTGGATTTGCTTGACTAGTCAAGAGTAATTTTGATCAATGTTATATGGAAAGCAGACAGGACTGGCAGATAAAATTGCAAACAAGATACCAGATTCTGTCCAGAACACCCCAAAAACCAAAGGTGGTAAAAATTGAACAAGAGCTGACATAAATCATTCTTTATTTTTTATGCAATATGTTTATACAAGAAACTTAAAATATATCAGCTTGATTATGATTAGTTTCATCACGATTGGGATTGGACCATGATCATACCAATATCCTTGAACAAGTACTTCTACTGGTTTAATAACCAATCAACTTTAAAAATGTTGATTTTGATTCTAAAGTCCTATTTTGTCGCCTGGCTGGCTGAGCTCAAAGTTGCCCTCTTGCTTATTTAGACCTCTTTGTACTTCTCCTTTCCAGGCTTTGCTAAATAAAATATTAAATTCTAATCCTAATTTATTCTTAAGTAAAATAGTACTAATCTTGTATAAAATCCTATTCTCTATATTTATTGATGACTATAAAGAATTAAAGAGACAATGCTTTACCGTAGAATCTACCTGCATTGGTTTTTGTAAATTTTTGTATTGCTTTACCTTTACTTTTATTAAATTTTTTTCTTTTTTAAACTTGGATAACCCCCTGCAATTGCAGCCGCTTTGAAATAGAAACAATTATCTTTTATCATTCTTTTCCATCCACCATGAAGGAACTTCATCATTTGGAGAAGCAAGGAACAACCTATGGGCTATGGTTGCTACAAGTAGTGCTATGGCTGAGCAAGAAGACCATGACCAAGGTCAATGTGAAGGTCTGGCTCAAAAGGCTACAAGAAAATATTAGAATGAAATGTTGAAGGTTGAATGAAGTAGCTTCTTGAAAAGCATAAAATCAATGTCAATGTGGAGAATTAGGATATAGCCAAGAATCTTGTGTACGGTGATGAAACAATGTGGAGAATAAATGTAACTCCAAGGAAAATTTGTAAGCACGAATGATTGACATTATCTATGTACCAGCTCCTTCCTTTCCATGTGGCTAACACTCTTACCGGCGAACTTTTGAGGATTAATTTCCAAGATTTGATTTGCAATTTGAAAGTGTTCAGCACATGCTTTATTAAGGAGCATATTCTGAGTTTGTTGTCTAATTTTATGGTTGGCTGAAGTGAACGTTATCTTGTAGTTTTTTGTTTCCTGCAGTTTCACTAGGTTATATTGATTTAACGTTTTTCTGTTACTACTTTACAAGAATGATTGGATAAACCTTGTGGCCAACAACTTCTCCTCTATGTATTTTCCTGTTTCCAATAATAAGAATTCAACGAGCAGTTTGTCTGAAATTTTACAAGAAGAAAACTATACATTGATCCACTATTCACGAAAGACTCCTTTAGGTTGTATGTATGTATGCGTTATTTAATTGTTGTTGGTGTTATTATTATTATTAAGAAAAGACTTAAGAATTAGTTAAGATTTAAACAAAATTCAGATATGATTTATAATTCAAATAGATTTAGATAGGATTTGACATTTAACTATATAATTATTATAATAGTAGGATTTAGATAGATTAGGATATATATTCATATGAGAATAATACCTACAAATAAAAGGCAATAGAGTATCCAATTTCTGACTTTGATTTCCAATAAAAATTGCATATTCAGATTTTCTCTATCTTTGTTCACTTTTTCCCTCTTTTTCTCTCTCTTTCCAATCCAAATTCTATAACAGTATGGCACACAGGCTTTTCAAAAAACACTACACAAACATTCATGAATTTTCCCAGTTGAAGGAAGATTTACACAGATTTTTAGAACAGAGGAAAGATTTGTGCAAAATCAGAAATCCAAGAAGTATTTTACTTAAACTCCTAAGAAAATTGAAAATTAAAACATTTATGTGGGAGAGAAATTTACATGCCACATGGAAGTGAAACACAGTATAGAGTTGTAACATATAAGGGAAGAAGTCTTCACAATGAGCAAGTCTCCCTTATGTAGTGCACGTTATTGGGCGTTTTCGACGTCATACAGTTCAATCAATGGCCTTGATGCATTATTCTTCATAACTGTAGCTGTTTATTCTTATTAGTTTTCTATTGTGCTATGAAGCTCGTAAGAAGTTTAATCCTAATGGACAAAAATTGATCAGTGTAACATGATAGAAAAAGAAAAAAGGTTATTAGATGTTAAGGCGTTAAGTAAAGACAAGATTTGTTAACATGAATAATGAAGATCAATTAAAAAGACCTCTAAGTTACATTTATATAGCAGATCATTTACTCAAATAAAAACATGAGGCAATAGGAAGAACCACTTACAGCAATTGGAATATATGCATGCCTGCTGTTCACAGGTCCAACTGTGAATCCAGTGTACCCGGCCATAGCTCCATGAACAGCACTATGAGCAAGAAGCGTGCAGTAAATGTTGTCAGATGCATTGCTTGGAATAGCTCGAATCATGTATGTGGGATCTGCATTACAAACATTAAAAGAATGATAATTTTTTCTTTTTGATATAAGAAGAAAGATTATTCAAAAGAAGAGGGAAAATTACAAAAACAAAGGACATGAGATCCTCTTCAATCAAAAGAAAGGAAGAAAAAGGGAAATGCCCCAGAATCTTTAACTTGGGCTTCTATAATGCCCCACCAATCCCCCAGGCCTGGTTTTCCGTTTTCCCCCAAAGAAAACTCTGAGGAAGAAATGAATTTCAGTAGAACAAGTGTATGACATCTGCTATGTCAGCGTGAATGTGAGGTGTATTTTAGGCATATTCCAGTTGCTAATATAGTTAGAGTGTGTACTGCGTAGTTGCATGTAGATGAAATATTTATTTTACAAGCTGTAAAGTCTCAATGAAATACTACTATCATCAATATACATTCTCAGACCTATGGTTTCCTTTCATCTTTTCTTTTTCTTTTTCTTTTTTCACGCTTCACAAATTTCAAGCATCAAAAAGAGGAACCAAAAGATGTTTCAAAATGGAATTCCAAAAGCCGTATTACAGTTCAAAATATAACTTCAAGATAATGAGAAAAAAATCGTGTAGAAAATTGTATGCTTGTGATTTTAGCCCTTTACAAGCCCCTCCTTGAACCCAAAGGAAAAGGAAGAAGATTTTAAATATGCTAGAAAACTTGTTATTAACTGTTACCCAGTCCCAATAGCATCGAGATTCATTGTCACTCTCTTTATGATAAGATTTGAGAATTTCATCTCCACAGGGCGTGTCAGGACTAAAGAACAATTGGGTGATATTTTCACAAAGAGCCCTGAATTGGGCTCAGGTGCTTGGGTTCAATTAATTTGTAACAAGTTAGGCATGTCTATGCTCCAACTTGAGAGGGACTGCCAGGACCGCAGAAGGTTTATTTCATTATTGTAGATATTATACCTCTATTGTACGGATAGGATATTATTCTGTCATTGAGCCATTAAAGCCCAAGGCTCCACTCTTGTGTGTGTGTGTGTGTCCCAACCCACAGAATGAATAAACAACATGTTACAATAACATTTTCCCAAAGAAGGAATTATATTCGATCATCCGTGTGGAAACAATTGATGGAAAAGTTCGAAATCAACAAATTGGGGGTAGACTCATACTTTCTCAGCATTGAAGTCACTCATTCACATCAAGGGACTTTTATAACACCACAGTATGCAATAGCCTTGATGATTGATATATGCAAGTCCGAGTATAAACTAACAAATACACAGAGAATCAAATGATAGGCATTGTGAATCTCTAGAAGAAGCAATCATTGATAAAAAGGAATGCCAAAGACTCGTGGTGGGAAGACTAATCTACTTGTCCCACACCAGGGCATAGCATAAGTTATGAGTGTTGTTAGTTAGTTTATGCAGTCTCAGAGTAAATATCTTACGCTGGTGCATAGAATACTTCTCAAAGGGCACACCAAGAAAAAGAATTATGTTTTGAAGGGGGAGGGATTAACTCTTGAAAATTATATGGGATTATGCAGAATCTCTAGTTCATAGGAGATCAACCAATAACTGCTATGCTTTCCGAAGAGGAAACCTAGTTATTTGGAGTGGCAAGAAACAAAATGCAGTTTCCAGATTTAGTCCAGGCTAAGTTCAAAGCAATGGCACTGGGGGTTTGAGTTATTGAGAACAAAATTCCAATGAATTTTTATTGTGATAATAAGTTGACCATTAACATTGCCCACAATCCAATACACCACAACTGAACAAAACACATCAAAGGAGATTGGCACTTTATCAAATTGAAATTGGACAATGGTTTAATTTGCATTCTTTTTGTCCCCACAGTTGATCAATTTGCACGTATCCTCACAAAAGGACTGTCCAGTATCATCTTTCAAAACATAGCTGGCAAGTGGGGTTGTGGTAAATGGATGACATCTGCTCACCAGTTTGAGGGAAAGTGGTAGAAAATATTATTAGTCATTATAGTTAATCAGGCAATACCTGACGCCAGGATTAAGGGATTGATAATCCCTTGAAAATCTGAAATCTTTCCAACATTTATTGGATATGAATTCCCCACTCTACTGCACTTGCGTTTAGAAACCAATGTAATGTCCTCATTGTAAACCACAAGAGATTAATATTCAAGCTATTATTTGTGTCACCTAGGTCAAAGACAGATCAAATGCTACCTTATTACTTCTTTTGTCTTCTCAGAAGGATTACCATACCAATGAATTTCACAAGCTAGAAAGACAAACCATGAGCACTAGATGAAACTCAAAAAATTGAAGTAGAAGAAAAGGACTCTTGAACGCATTAGAACAATAAAGTTTCTTGATATATAAACTCAACCATTTACATCCTTTTTATTTAGATTCTTTGAAACAAAAGAACAAAACCTGTGTACTCAAGCTTATATACTTAAACATTAAATTCTCCAATTAACTAATATGTACATTATATTTACACCACACTAACTTAGTCACCAAAGTTGATAACTAACCTCTAAATTTACTTTAAAAAAACAAAGGAAGTCTCCATATCCACCTTCTTTCTATAATTGTCACGGTAATAATTCATAGTCATCTTTACTCCCTGACAGTACACAATCTAAAGAAGCACCCATATCTACCGTGAAGGAAATGAACCCAAAGCGGATTATGCTGGGGTCACAATAAAAGGGCTCGCTTCATCCCCTCTCAAAATGTGGCTAATGCCCACAGAAGACAAGCTTGGAGGGATATGAGAGGATGTTCTTGCACCTCTGAAGTTATTTTACATGTCTTTCTCATATACTTTTGTAGTCATCTTGTCAGAGTCAGCCATATGACTGTAGCGTGCAAATGAATGTAATAAGCACAATTTTTCTACAATCTCCTATGCAGATATCTACGGGCAGGTGCAAGTATTGAAGGGACGGCCAGAATAGTAAAGTCTTTGATTTTCAAATTGGGGGAAGTTGACATGGAGGAAGAAGGAATGTAAATTTTATGGCTGATTTAATACTTTGCAATAGTAATAGAAGGAGAAGATGAGAATGATGTGTAAGGTTTTTTTTGTTTTCATTCATTTTCTTTTTGGTTTCAAGAGTTGAGTTAATAGAGAAATATGGTGAAGTGTGGTCCATGCAGCCAACCCCCCCTAGTGGGGTAAGACTTGTTGCTATTGTTGTTCCTGTTGAAAAAGTTAAGTTAATAGTGCTAGGAATTAGGTTGGTAAGGTGTAAAAATAATGTGCAGTTAATTGATTGGGTAACCTGATGTAAAGTAAGTTTTAAGCATACATGTTTTGTCCAAAAATAATAATTGTTATTAGCAAATGATAGTTATTAGAACCAGAACTTCCTAGAAGAATAAAAATGTAAGAATGGAAAGATTCATGGGCAAATCATGAATTTACCTATATATTTCATATTTACAGCCATCTTCTTAACGTTTGTGAAATAATCCTGCGACAAACAGCATGAGGATTAAAGAAATTGGATTAGTGACCAAAAATAAGTAGAAGAAATAACCACAACCTCTTGAGAAATAAAAGCAACTGCTCATCTAACATGGAAATTGTTGCATTTAGTTGTAGTAAACAATCTTTAATCAAAGCGAAGTAGTTAGTTGAAAAAACAATAGGTCCAAGCTCTAACAAATTCATCAATATTTATTACGTGTGTAGGTTATTCCAAATTATGGGAAAATTTTTGAGAATGCAGAGAGTTAACAAATGGACTGGGGCACCACTCAAACAGCAACATAATTAAAGGGAAAAAATTGAACTAATAAGATAATTCTTTCATTGGATAATGGATAACAAAAACTGTTTTTTTTTTCTGTTTACAGTTGCTATTTTTTGAGGTTACAGAATCCATCTACCAAAAAGATTACAATTCCCATCAGAATAAACTTAACAATTGAATCAGATAGAAGAATTTCTTAGGAGTTAATCTTACACTAAGATCATAATCATAATTGTTAAAATTGTGGAATTGACTCCCAAAGAAATCACCAATCTGACCCACTCTCTAGTCCTCTATGATGGAAGTTACCATACATTTCTGTTAAAAAAATATATATAAGAGGAGCACAACGAATGCCAAAACAGCATGTAGAGATAACACACAATACCTTGATCTTTTGGGATAGCCATGGGCCAACATCAAGTAGTAGTTTGTTTCCCGACGCATCCTTATCAGCCAATACATGCACTTCAGCAGAAACATATTCCTGGCCAGCACCTTCTGCCATCACAATAACTAAATGTCCATTTTCTTTTAGCCTCTCTTCAAGAAAGTCAAAAAGACCACCCTTTCCTTCTAAATAAAATGGGGACTCTGGAATCAAGCAGCAATCCTGTTACAGCTGACACATGATCAGTTGTTTTCTTTTTGTTGATTTTCTTTTCTTTCACTAATTTTGATAGGGGAGCAATTTAAAGTCCAAGATGAGATATGCTGACTCTTAAGAACGAAAAGGCAGTGGGAAGATGAGACATCCCCCAAAGAAAACTACAAAGGAAAGAGAAGGCGAAGTAGAAAGATTAAAAAAACACAGAATGAAAGTGAGAAGGAAAAAGAAAAGCATCATTCTCTAAACTTGCATTACCCACAGAGAACCACCTTTAAGAAGAATATTGATTATTTACTATCAATTATCTTTGCTGATCTCGAAAGAATCCATGCCTAAAGGGTGAGTTTTCTAATTTTGCAAAGATTATAAGCATATACATTTTAATTTTTAAGAGGAAGGGAGGGCATTAGATTTTAAGCCTATTGGTTTACGTTGAGTCATTTTCATTTGTGATATCAATTCCTAGTAACTAAGATCACCTAGGATAATATTGTAACTCAGTGCAGAACTGTAGACAAAGTAGCTGCTAACAAATTAAAAATCCCTTAGAATATGGGTGGCACTTTTCCTTAGGGATTAACAGCCTTCACTCTTAAATCTTATATTAATCATCAACTAGTGCATTTGGTAATGTTTGTGAAAGTTGCATCAAAATCCCAAGAAACTAATTAGTTAGGATAGCTATTCAACTCTTCACATATCAGAAACAGAGATTCCCTTGAAATAACCATGGAACAAGCACTAAAGAGCTGCCATACAGACAAATCTTCAACCCTTAAGTTCTAACTGTTACTCAGTTTTAACTGAAAAGGTCAACAGCTAAATTTCTTGTTTTTACTAAAAAGATCCTGCACTAGAACTAATAACATGATCTATCCAATTTATTTACCACATGAAATTAAAATTTTACAAAGACAATAAAACCAACTTGTAAACTTTTATGACATTGATCGAGCATATGTGAGACTGGGTAGTAGACTTACCACATCTCGGCTTGCCAAAGTTGCATGCATAGCAATGAAACCTGCAGATGGAAGGTTGTAAAGCATATTGCTGAAAAAGAAACAAGATGCTCACAGATCTAATACTAATGCATCATGCATCATATAAATCTCGCATTCTGCATTTTAAATTTAAATACTTTTGAGACTTAGAGATTAAAAAAAACAGAGAAATAAAAAATACAAAGTAGAGCATCTCCTAAGTGCTAATACCACTGTATCTGCCCATTAGTTTAACAATTCCAACTCCATTTTCAACACTTTCAACCTCCACATGTGCCGCATTAATGGCTCTTTGAGCTTCTTCAACAGCAGTATCAAATCCAAAAGATTTGTCTATCACCTGAAGCCAAACAAGAAAAATATCAATAGCAAATATCACGGATTCTTCTCTCAGGGAAAAAAATCATTGACCATAAAGTACAAAATGCTAATCCTTGTGTGCATTTTAGCTGAACATATGTAGCTATATATGATTGCTATATTTGTTGTACTTATAGGTACTGTTTTGTATTAAGTCACTATAACCATCAGAATTAAGTATAAATATAGAAGTTAACAATATATTCAGGAGTCCCACATGGCTTGTATTACATGATTCATAGTCTTTATAGTGCATGTAATAGAGGGCAACCTTATGTTTTTCCCTGTCCCAAAAGAAGAAGAAGAAGCTTCTTTTCTGGAGAAAACTACAGTACACTGATTGGTAAGACCATCAAAATATTTATAAGAATCAACTTAACCCCTCGAATGCTTTGATAGAACAACGGGATGCTCTGATGAAGAAAAAATATTTCTGCTGCCAAAAAGGCTACAGTAAGAAACCTTGAATTTTGCATGCTCTTGCTACACTTAATCAACCTCTTTTGGATTATTAGCAAAGCTATGTCTCTATTTAACTGAGACCTTTCATTTGACTATGTTGTCTAGAAGACTACGAGAAAATTTGGATGTCCTGGAGATGTAATAAAAATGTCTTATAAAAGCTGTTGAAGGTCCTACAAAAAGTGATACTATAAAATCAAAATATCAGTAAAATAAAATGAACATATTATGACAAATTTGGAGAAAAAAGTCCTTGAAAGAAATTGTACACAGTAAAGAAATTTTCAATGGGAGAATCATGCAAATTAGAAAGCCAATAATTGCAAGGACATTTGTCATATCTTGGCATATGTGACAATTTTGAAAGGATTTTGTACAAACACACATCCACAAAGAGGGAAATTTGTACGATGATCACAGCCTGATGTTATGAAGATTCCGATGGCATTAAAACCACAATGGAAAAGACTACTGCAAAATTCTAATGGAGGCAAATGTTTCAAATTTAACATAATAATTTATATTTGATGACATGGCTTCTTCAAAAGTTCCAGGATACTGAGAAATCTTCCATAATCGTAAAGCACAAATCAGCATTGCAAAATGGCCAAAAAAAAAAAAAATAATAATAAGCAAATTGCAGTTTAACCAAAAAAAAAAAAAAAAATCTACTGATATAGAGAAGAAAAAGATAATGAAACATCTTCAAAGTTTACAGAAAACTCAAATGTATCAAGTCAGCCTAAAAAAAAGTACTTTGTCATGGTCTAATTTACAGAGTTCAAGAAAGTCATCAAATATATAAATCGTTATATGCATGATTTTCAGCTGCAAAAGAATAGCTACAGTTCAGAAATGAGGATAATGACCGAATTATAATATGTAACTATGAATTCAAATTTTTTCATCTGCAAAAATAATAATAATAGTTATTGAAAAAAACTAAGGATTTATAGTTAGCTTCACTTACAGCAATATCATTATCAATTGTCTTCGGAATCCCAGCCACAGCAACTTGAAGGCCACGTTTTTTAACTTCCTTCATAACAGTAAGCCCATATTACTTCATCCAATAGAACTAAATGAATAAGAAGTTAAAGACTTTAAGTTCAAGGCAAGAAGTTTCATCATGTGGCACGAAACAGTTACCTCATATATGACTGCAGCTCCTCTCTGGGTACCGTCACCTCCAATTATGTATACCTTACATACAAAAATCAGTTCAGCCATCAAGGTTTGGCCCCCAGGGGGGGGGGTGAGTAAAGCTATCAAGACAATCAAGACAGATGAACAAACAACCACCTGATTTATTCCCCTGTCCTGAATGTTATCAACTATCTTGTGGGTATCATGCCCTCCTCGAGATGTGCGAAGAAAAGTGCCACCACGTTTATGGATATTGTCAACAACTTTAGTTGATAATTTCAATGTATTTTTGGAATAAAATCCTCTATATCCTCCCTGAATTGTATTCAGCAGCATTATAGTCACGCAAACTGAAGTGCAAATACAAAAAACAGTATAAATATGCCCTCAAACAACTAAAAGCATATAAATTTGTGTTTCCTGAAGAAATAAGAAAGCAGGATTGAAGTGCGAAGATTGAGGACATCAAATGCCCAATAACTATGAGAAGAAGGAAAGGAAAATATTGAGGAAAAAAAATAAAAGGAGATATATTAGCATTAGTCCATTGCATGGGAATTAATGAGATTTTGGCCAGCTATTGACCATACCAGATCTCGTCCATTATAATTAATCCTCAATTTATCCCTCATTAAATCTGGATATTGGACCATATTATACCAGCATTAGGAAATAATTATGACTTTGAACAACAAGTGACAATCAACTGTTCACTTAGCAAAAGCAAAGAACATTGAGGAAGTGAGACATAGGTTTCAACGAAATCACCTCAATTCCTAGTATATCCTCAACACCGTACATGTAGTTCAAGCCACAAACAATTTCCCTGATCACTGTATTGATTCCGGGGCATAATCCTCCACAAGTAACTATGCAAGCTCGAACTTCTTCTGGCTTAAAGTAAACCTAGCATTACAATGCACCATCATTAACTTCTGAAGATAAAAAATGGGCACATATAACATGCATTTATACCTTTTCTCGAGGCCCTGCACGCCGAAAATGAACTCCTCTGGGGCTGTCTTTCTGAACCACAATCTAGAGAGGGTATTGAAAGAAAATGTACATAAAGCAAGGGTCATCAACCATTTTTAAAAAAGAAAAAACATTCATATAAAGGGAAACGAAACACTCTGTCACTTACATTTTGTGCAACCACATCTTCAGGGCACACAAAAGTGTTCCTAATAATCCAAACAAAACAAGGACAAAAGGCTTTCAGTTTAAGACAATAAGAAACAAAATGTTTTTGGGTACTAGAAAAAGCCATCAGATAAAATCTTAAAAATTACAAAGAAAAATCATAAATTATGTCATAAAAAAATGAAAATAAGTGAACTAACTTGACAATTGCATAAGCTCGGCTCTTCTGCAATGGATTTGGAAATGACTGCAATGGAGGAAGTAATGAAATAAGCATAATGAATCAGCTCAATGGAGAAAATTTGGAAAGATAAGAGAGCTCTTTTAAATAGAGTTTCCAATTTGGAAACTAGGGTTTATAATTAGTAATATCGTTTTTATTGTCTTTGCATATAAGTTATTGACCTCAATTATATTGGAGCATGTTATTTTTCTCGATCTTGATTCATTTTCTGCTCATCAATCTATTCAAATATCATTATCTTAGGCTTCTAATAGTTGATATGAATTTTAAACAGAGGAGGGCTACATCAATCGAATTCTCTCTTAATATATTTACAGGGTATAACGGCATAAGTGTGATTAAGACAATTGTAAAGATTAGTTTGTAATAGAAATGAAAACATCGCTCACTGTACATATTACTGAGAGAACAGAAAGTCCTTTAGCTTTAATGGGCTTATCTCATTACAATCATGTTGAATTTCCAAGTCGATCTGTGTCTTTCCATCTCCTCAGAGGCTCTTCTTCTTTTTTCACACACATTCCTTCATTAAATTAGAGTTGCTAAAAATGCTTCCTTTCTCACTAATAAGCCGGAAGGAGATGACCCAAATGTATAGAATAGACGAACTTTTAAAAATGAAACTAAAAAGTAAAAATAGCATATCAGAGTATTTCGTTTTGAATGCGTATATATTGTGCATTTGTGTTTTCAGCTGACAAACCATGATTTATCCTTTTAAATTCAGACCCAAGCGAACTTCGCTTGTTATGCACAACAATAATATCAATAATCAATAATATAGTATCACAACCTAGAATAATCTAGATGAGTTAAAACAAGAAGTTTAATGAAAACTAATGCAAACAAATCAGCACCTGTAAATCTGGAAGGAAATGCGTCAAGTGGGGAACGTCTTCCAGCACAAACCCGTCATTACGTGCTTGCTTTGAACTCTGGGAAGCTCTTATCACAACATGCGTATGGCGGGAAAGCAAGGGCTTCGTAAGAAAGATTTCAGATCGGCAACGCAAATTCGGAGGAAAACGCGATGATTTTAAAGATTTTGGTTCGAGGGAAAGTTGAGGGGAAAATGAAGTGGAAGGTGAAGATGGAAAAAATGAAGACATTTCAGAGAGCGAAGAGGTAAGCGAAATATCCATATCGAAGTGACAAACAGAAAGAGAATTACACGGAAACTACTTTGATTCGGAACTTATGATCTTGATTCCTGAATCGACTTCCAGTTATGTCACGCAAGAGAAGAGACGCCAGCTTCTACATTGCTGTCGGGACGTGCCCCAAAAAAGGACTTTTCTTTGAAAGGAACAAATCTTTAATTCAACCAAAAAATTTCTTTGACTGATAAATAAGGGTGGAATTCAACTCACTTTATTATGTTCGGTCAAAACAAAAGTCACTTTTAGTAGGGGTTATGTTATAAAATATACTCCCTCCTTTTAAACTATGATATAAGATATTTTTTATAAATTTTACTTAATATAAAATATAAAATATTAAATAATTTTAGATTTATTTTTTAATAATTTTTATTTGTGTTCGTAAATCATAATTAATTAATTATGATTTTTATTATAATTTGAGAAGAGTAACTAATATAAAAAGCAAAGATAAACAAGACAATAACAAGCCAAAAATGGAGGAGAAAATAATGGAAGATAATTTGTTATTCTCTTAAATAGTTTTGCTTTAGAGATGGCTCTATTTGTAGGGATCTAACTATTAAAATTTTATTCTATAAAAAAATGAAGAGATATATAATGGTATATTATATAAATCTTCTAAAGATATAAGGTATTAATTACTCTAAAAAATTCACTTTAAATTATTCGTTAGGACATTAAGGATAAAGAAATCTTAAGATACTTCCTCCATTTTTATATATAAGAGAAAGTATCACTTTTTTTTTCCATAAACCATTCCTAAGGTAAACCATTCATTTATTACAAAATTTTTAAATTATCCCTTATAAACTCATTATTTTCATTCATGAAAAACAATTAGTGCATTTTTATTTAGATTAAATACATGGATATTTTGGTATAATTTTTTATTTTCAAATGTAATTATTATAATTAATTGATTTTATTAAAATATGATACATTTATTTTCTTTTATATATAGAAATAAAGAGAATATAAGTTGTGAATATCCACAATATAATATTTAGGGTTAATGATCATTTTTATTTTTAAAGTTTTCTCTCACAAATATCCAGTGTTTAAAACTCAATTTTAGTCCATTCTTTCTCTTGACATGTATTTGGTTGGGGGCTTCTCGATTTTGGAAGGGATCTCCCCTCTCCTCCCCTTATATTGCTCCCCTTTAAATTGAAGTTTTTTTGGAGGGGAGCTAATTTTTTAATATTATAAGTACACTCATAATTAAAAAAAAACTCTTTTTTATATTAGATTATGTTTCACTCTCAGATCTCAACTGATTTCATTGGAATTTTTTTAAAAAATTACAGTTCATCATATTTTATTATATATTTAAGGGAGTTATTTATTTTTTATAAAAAAATGTAATCATTATAATTATTGGTTTAATTTTTTTATTCACATATTAACAATATGATAGGATGAGAATAAATTTTTAAAAAATCATGCAATTTAAATTAATGTGTAAAATTATTTTCTACAAGAAACAAATAAAAAATTTTAAACTAATATATTGGGATATAATAATAAATTTGTTATTACCTTCCCTCCTCTCCTAAACTAAACAAAAAATCATTAAAAACCCTTCTCCTCTGCTCCCCTCCAACAAAATCAAATAAGGTAACATTAAAACCTTTTCCTTCCCTCTCTTCCATCCTTTCCTCTCAAATCAAATACACCTTAAAAGTTATAAAATGGATCACTCTTACCCTGCCATCAATTCCAGTTAAGTTTGATAGTTAGTTTTTTTTTAATCAAAGAATACATTTAATCCTTTAATTTTATATAAAGATTCATTTAAGTCTGTTAATTTTATAAAATGTCCTCTTAATCATATAATCCTAATATTGTTAGTTCCATCCTAATAAATTTTCACATTAAACTTCCAAATATTAATAAAACATTTTAAAATATTGACATATTAAATTTAATTTTTTAAAATAAAAATGATTGATACAAAATCATTTAAAAATAACAGTATTATAGTTAAAGAATTAAAAAAATACTTTATAAAATTAAAAAAAATCAAATGAAATCTTATATAAAATTAAAGAATTAAAAATATATTTTAACTTTTTTTTAAACATAAAATTGTAGAGTTGTCGCCTGCGTGTCACTCAAATCATCCACCTTGCAAACGAGTCAGATTATTTATTTTTAACCAAAAACTCTCTCTCTCTCTCTCTCGCCTCCCCCTCTCCCCCTGCTTCTCAGCGCCTTGTCCGATTCTGTTTCACGAAGATGAAATCTTCTACATCACAATAGCCACATTTCTACATCACAATGCAATTTCAAACCCATAACAAGCTGAACAAGTCAATATCCCAGAAAGAACAAATCGCTGGCAACTTATTGAAGAAAAATCAAATCCTTCTTTTTTTAAAAAAATCAAAAATTAAACCCAACTGAAACATATCAACGACGAAGAAGAGATTGGAGAATCAAATCTTGACAGAGGCACAGCAACAATATGAAAGCGATTAAAAAACAACAACAGTTGTAACAGCAGAAAAAAATCAGAAAAACCCATAAAAAATTCCAATCACAACCCTTTTCAGAGACACGACGATGACTGCCGCTGGAGGAATTGGAAGGGACAGAGACGATAACCAGAGAAGCGGAAGCTCGGATGCCTTCAGCCATTGCACCTTCTGGGGATGATGAATTGGTGAAAATTGGTTTGTTTCTTTTTTCTTTTCTTTCCCCCCCCCCCCCCTTGCTGTTGCGAGGAAGTGATGAGGTGGAGGGAGGGGAAGTGGTGGTTTTGGTGGAGGTAAAGAGGACGTGGAGGGACAATGTGGACATTCTAGTCAAATAGAAAATATTTAACCGTGTACGTTAATTAACGGTAAGCGATGAATTGAACCAATTTTTTAAGTTTAAAGCAAAAGAATGAACGAAAGTGGAGTTTAAGATAGTCAGTATCCTAAAAAAAATAGTTTAAAAACAAAATTAAGGATTAACCTTAATATTAATAATGCTCGCATTGGATGTTCATAATAAATATTATATTAGACATTTATAATAAATATTATATTTTATTAAAACCTTATTAGAAAAAAATTCAATGAAATAAAAACTTAAAAAAAAAAGAGTACACAATATTTTTAGACGCTTGATAAAATTATCTCATTAAAAATTTTTTAGAAAAAACTCAATAGGACAAAAACTACACACACCTACAGCTGTTAAAAGCAGATTTATCACAACTTATGATACAAAGGCCACTTATCTCAACCAATATCATGATTTGCCACAGCCAATCCATGCGAAACAATCTGTCACGATAATCAAGGCAATCCGTTGTGGCATACACCCAAAAACAGCACAATTATGGCATTAGGAAATTAAATTTTTGAAGCACCAAATTAATTGCTCGAAGTTTTGATTAAGATGATCCAAACGTTTGCATGTAGATAATTAAAAGATCTATCTAATGACTTTTGTTTTATCACATTCTTGTATTAGATGAGGATTTTGGAATACTTTGCACCGAACAAGCACCTGTGCCAAAAGCATCAAAATTAAGTTTCTCTCCTCTTAAGCCTCAAACACCCTCCACATGCATAAATTACAACATGTAAAATCATGCACATCGCATACTATCAACTTAAGGATCCGCCCATGTGCACACATTTGCACCGTTTTTCCAAAAACATATAGGACCACAATCAAAAATACCCTAATTTAACAATAACGGCTTGATGAAGATGATAAATAATCCAAAAAAAAATATAATAACCCCTAATGTTAGCAAATATGTGATCTATTTATACATAATTTAACTAGAGACTTTACATTGGCAAGCTCTAGTTTCTCGCTCTAGCAATGTCCCCTTTCCCCTTAGCCATACCATCTATTGGAAAGATAATAACAAACAAAAATGATATTTTGCAATTTCAATAACAAAGCAATTTAATCAAAATGTATAAAAATGTGGCATTCATAATAAATAAGCATAATTATTACACAAGAAAATCTACAAATTAATCACAATGCATCATTAAGTCATAATCTACATTATCATATACAATCACCTTATATCACTTCTTATATCTGAATTCATAGGCTATTAACTTATATAGATTTAACCTATGTGATTGGGCTAGCCCTGCTCTTCAATTATGAAGGGTTACTTACCCAAAGGCTTTCACACTCACTCTCGAACCATGGACTCTCAGAGAGATTGGTGATACTAATTATCATGCCCGACCCATGTTATACTTGAAAGGTTGATGAGAATACTAAGCACACATATTAATAAATATGTTAAACATTGTGTGTAAACTTAATGAAAGCCACATCACGTGAATTTTCCAATGATATCTTCCATTAACACTAGGGCGAACTCCTGCCTATCCGTGATTATGCAAGTTCACTAAATGTATGCCCAACACATTCATACTTTCCATTATCACACATAATTGTATAAGCATAAATATACTCATTTTTTGTAACTCAAGAAGTTGCATGTATTTCTTGATAAAGCATCACACCCAATTTTAAAGCTAAAAATTTCATGATTACCAACTCAAGACTTACTCAATTAAAGCTCATCACATTCGTAACCACATATACAAGAGTCACATATAATTCCACCAAGTGTAGCTTCATCACAAAGAGACAAATTTCTTACCTCGAGTAACCCCTTAAAGGTAACAAGCACATAATCATGTTTTTATTCCTTATTATGTAATGATCCTAAATTTTAAATTAATAAAAAAAATTTCTCCCAATTTGTAGTTTATTTAAATTAGTTTTATGAAAAATAAAGAGTGGTGAATTAGTAGAACTTATGCTAATAGTTTGTTTCCTTTTTGCAATTTCCTAATGTTTAGATTTTTATTCTTTCCTTTTCTTGTCAAACGCACACACCGTCTCAAATTTTTTTCCTTCTCCTCCTTCGAAATTTAAGGAATTAAATACTGTTTTGAATAATATTGTATGCTATTTTATAAATGCTGAGCTAAAGATTGATGAAGAGATTAAATGTTGAAAATGGTTGAATTGTTTGGATGATTCTCTTATGATTTATTTAATCATGAATGTTCTCATAGTACTTATAAATATGCTTGAAAGGTTTATTGGTGGAAATGAGATTGTTAAATTTTTATAGTAGAACC